ATCTATCTATCTATCTATCTATCTATCTATCTATCTATCTATCTATCTATCTATCTATCTATCTATCTATCTATCTATCTATCTATCTAATAAGAAATTATCAATTTAGAAGAAAACTATTATTAAATGCAACAGTTTGGTTCTGTGTGCTGGTTTCATTTGGGTCTGGCAATGATTTTACTGACAAAAGTCAGTGTGTTTGAACAATAAAAACAAAATAAAAGTATGTGTGAAATGGTGTTTTTGTTGATTTAAGGTGTGTTCTGTTTTGTGATGACAGTCTTAGAAATTTCAATTTTTATTCAGTTTGTTTAAAAAAAACTTACAAAAGACTTGGGATGTAAATTATCCCTCAGGGCAAACCCACAAAGCCATCTTGGCATTGTTTCCTTTTGCTTTTTCTCACATTTCATGTTTAGCTCATTTTCCTGGCTGACAATGTGGTACTGATGATGGTAGCATAATATTGAACAATGTGCGTCTGCATTCTGTTTTATAATGATAAAACACCTTAAAATGAAATACTGTAAGTCTATAGTGAAGCAAAGAGGGCAAATGCAGTAGAACAGCAGAACAAAAAAAATTCTGGTATGAGTATATGCACAAAGAGTAGATCCGTACATTGTTATTGCTCTTAGTGAATGAAGTACCGGACTCTAATTATACTTTATTCTTTTACAGAATCTTTCTAGATGCTTAAAGGTGCTTTACAATTTCAAACATTATTCTTTCACTCTTCAGTCACATTCAGTGTTGGAAGTGTCATTCTGCACACGGTCCAACAGATTTATACACGGGGAAGTTGTGTAAAGGGTCTTGCCCAGAGACACAGTGATACACCTGGGCAGGGATTTGAACTGGCTGTGCTCTGGTTGCAGAGTGAACATCCCTGTGCAACTAAAATTTAGTCCTTGCTAATTATACCCTTTTTTTTTTTTTACAAAAACTGTAAGCTTGTGTAGTTTCTTCATTGTCACTTCAGGGATAAAGAAAAGTTTTTGATAGAGGCAGCAAAAGTGCTGAAACATATAACTAGTGTTCCTAGAAAGCAATGCTAATAGGACAAACATTATTATTCTTCACTTTGGAACTGGTTTAAAGCTGTTTAACGCCACCTGCAGTATAACGGTGTGTAATCTTACAATCTGTCAGTGGAACAAAATGAGGAAAAAGTTTTCAAATAATCAAGTAAAGTACGAATTCTCAAAACTGCACTTAAGTACAAAAGGAAAAAAAATTGTATAGGTCCTCTGGACGGGTTCTTCTTTAATGAAACGTTTCGTCTCTCTTCCAAGAGACTTCTTCAGTCTGAGAGTTTCAGGCAAAATTCAGGCTTTTGAGTCCTGCCTCCATGTGACTGATACTCACATCACATGGCTATCGTTCACACCTAATTAATACCTATTGTTAACAGGGGGTGGAGTGATACTGCCAATGGCAGCGCTGTAGGAGGGGGACAACTGAAAACGGTGGCCTCCACCTCTGTTTAATGATGGACGGTCTTTCTTCACAAAAATGGCTTCTTTTACTCCTCTCTCAAACCAACGTTCCTCTCTATCAAGAATGAGAACATCCTCATCTCTGAAAGAGTGACCGCTGGCCTGTAAATGAGTGAAAACTGCAGAGTTCTGGCCATTAGATGTAGCTCGTCTGTGTTGGGACATTCTTTTGAACAGTGGCTGCTTTGTTTCCCCGATGTATAACTGGTCGCAGTCCTCCTGGCACTTAACAGCATATACAGTATTGCTGTTTGTGCCGGGGCACCGGATCTTTGGGGTGAACCAGCCTTTGCCGTAATGTGTTTTGGGGTTTGAAAGCTACTGGGACATCATGTTTAGAAAATAAACGTCTCAGTTTCTCCGAAACACCCGCAACATACGGAATGACCACTGGTTTGGGTCTGGGTTTGGGGTCTTCATTTTCACCTGAAGGTTGCATTGAATCCTGTCTGTGTTTCCTGTCTGCTTTCAAGAAAGCCCAGTCAGGATAACCACACTGCTCCAGGGCCTGTCATGTGTGTGATTTCTCTTTCTGCCTGGCTCCTGGTTTTGTAGGGACACTGTCAGCTCTGTGGTACAGAGTCCTGATCACTCCTAACTTGTGTTCCAGTGGGTGGTGGGAGTCAAAACGCAAATATTGGTCTGTGTGGGTGGGCTTACGATATACGCCAGTTTCCAACCGTCCTCCATCCGAAACCGAGACATCGCAATCCAGGAACGCCAACCTGCACTTAAGTACAGTTTGCTACTGCCCTCCTCTGTGATTGGAGAGTGGGCCCTTCTTTGCTTTTTCTTTCTTTTTGCACACTTTGTACTTGATGATCTGTGGCGGCAAAGCAGAACTCTGATACGTGAGGAGAAAAACAGCCCAACTATGGTTGGCATCAGTGGTATGTGAGGGACAGCTGGGCCTGTTCTTGCTTGTTTTATGAATACACAAACCTCATCCAGATGTTAGGATTTTTTTTCCCACCATATCTGAGGAGTTATATGTTGCCTTACAATGACTGCTTTTTCTTTTTACTAAAGCTGTATTTTAGTATGTAAAACCACAAAGTAAAAAAAAAAACACATTTGAACTGAAATGTATAGGTTTTTGGTGATTGCACATGTAGACCAAGGCCATAAATATAACATGTTTGGAGATGCTGTTTTTTCCTGCTCATTTCTCTGAACTCTGTCGACTTTAGAAGTGGTCATCTGCCCACTGTCCTCATGTTCTCTCTTCTGATGATGCGTTCAAGCTCTGGTGCTGACGGTGCACAGAGGGTAAGCCAGGTCTGAAAGGGAAGTGCTGAAAGCCACAGGCGCCTCCCCATCCCATCCCAACACACGCACACACACACCACTGATTGCAGCGCTATTATCCTGCCGAGACAAAGCTGCACAAGAAAAAGGAAGTACAGACTTAATCTGTCCTATTCACTGTCACCAGTACCCTCCAAATACACAAACAGCTCTTGGGGCCGGCGGTGAAGCAACTGCCTCTGCAGGAAGAAAACTCTCTGATCATATTTACTTTGTGTGCAAAGGAGGGACAGGTGCTCACATGAAAAATACATTTGCCAAAGGCTCCATCGGAGGTATAGATATTAATTTCAGACTGCATGAGTTGCCTCCCTTCCCAGTTCATTCACATTGTTCCATTTTAGAAAAGAGCTGATTGGGTTACTGACTCTTGTGTTCTCACTCAGCACGATTTTAAAAGGATATATTTCACTATAACAAGAAGGATTACTAGTAAAGAAGCATATTTATCTTGCTGGCATCAAGGCCTCGTTAACCTGTGCAGTGCATGATGGCACAGGCCAGAGGAAAGTGTAACCCTATGCTGTTGTGACATCAGCAGAGCAGCTTGAATGGCAGGCTTGTCAAACCGGTGTTGGAGCCTGCAGCAGTGCCTCAGTTCACATTACCAGCATTTACTCACCTGTGCGGCTGCGTTCTGTTACCTTGTCCTCATTATCACTTTTACCAGCAATAAACTCTAATTTTCTTCCCCTTTTTTTAAACCTCAAACTTTGCACATGGGAACAAGGAGCAACCAAACCTAAAACGGTGGAAGAAGAGGAACAATTAAAAGTGGGGGAGTAAAACAATTTCTGGCAAAACAAGAAAAATTATTTAAAAAAAGGTGAAATGGAAACAAATGGGATCGAAAAGAAAGCGACAGGTAAGTTTTTTAAATTATTTTTTTAATTATTATGTTAAGTTTTCTTGCTGAAGTTTTGCATCTATGGGTGTATAGCCACTTTAAGAACTGTAAACCTTAATGTTTTCCCTGCGGATTTAAATTAAATCATGTTTTCTTATGTTTTACACAAACTGTGTATATTTTAGCTGTATAGTTTTAAAGAAGTCCCGACCCAGTTTTGATTCTATATATTTTAAAATCCGTTTTCTCTGCTGAAAGGTGTGGCCGCGTCCTCTATTTTTCTTTCATCTTGTTGCAAAAACAGTATACAAACCATTACAGCGCCAAGATTTTATTTAGACAAACAACTTTACTTTAGCATGAAAGCCATTTAAAATTTAGTCCTTCTCGACTTGGATTTATTATTTTACCAGTGTTTGATGTGTAGACTACTAAAAAAATAAAAAAAATGTAAAGACAAACTACGTAAATCACAGCGACCGGAAGTACCGCGTGTCACCGCTAGAGGGCGCCAATGCACCGAAGTTTTATTTAAACACAACAATGTTTAAAAAAAAAAACTGTATAAAGTCACGTTTCACAAATTCGATTTATGTTTTGTCATGTAACGGGGTACATTTAAAACATGTTTGCTTTGTCTTGGCCGGGTAAGAAATGCTTTGTAAATTATTCCTGTTGCTCGCAGTTAATGATTAGCTAGAAACTGCTAAGATAATAATAGTGTTTGTAGCTTCCTCGTCTCCTGGCTAATTTTTAAAACAGCCTTGGAGCATGCTTTACAAACACTGTAGGCCGATTCGCCCTTGTTTATTTTGTTTTTTTACTTCCTCCCAAGTATGCCGAAGATGCTTAAAACTCTTCCAAACGAAGTGCAGCTTTAAAGCTTAAAGCGGGTGTCAGCGTGTCTGTCAGCTGACTGTCCGAGGGAAGTCCTGCAGAATAAGTAAAGTTTAGGGTCAGTCCACGCCCTTCTGCAGACTCTCTGCTCCTCTTCTCACAGTGTCTCAGTACACGAGAGTAGAGGCAGCATGTCGTGCTTGCAGAAACAGCCTAAACTCAGCAGATCTGAGGAATTACTTCACCATGCCAGCAGCCAGAAGACCATACAAATAAGCGCTAGACTTCTAGGTATGTTGCACTGCAAAAATAAATGTGTTAACATATGGTACTGCAAGGTTATTGAGGGTCCAACTACAATTGTGTTCAATGTGTTGCTTTTTTATGACATGTTGAGGCTTCTAAAAGCTGATATCTGTCATTTTAACTGAGTTTTATTTTGAAATGAATGCAGGAAAAGTGGGATGGTGGGTTGTGTAAGCTGGATTCATATCAGCAGGCTTTGAATGTGTTCAGTTTTTGCTATGCTGATTTTTCCTAAATGCTTCCTGGTTTTCTCAGGTATGGAGGGAGATCCGGACCTCCAGTTCCTCCTGACTGGTGGAGACCTCCTCAAGGTCCGGTCCCAGTCCTGGAAGAAGACCCGATTMCTAAAACTGCAGGATGACTGCAAGACCTTATGGCGTCAATCCAAGAAGCCTTTCAAGTCCAGCCAGACATGTGAGCGCTTCCCCCTGCATCCCACCTGCATCCCACCTGCACATCTGTGTACATAAGTCTGARCAAGTGTCGCGCGCCTTCTTTACTTTTGACTTTTTATTACTTAGCAACATCAAACTCGTGTTTTCTATGTTGACACACTTCAGGCTATCTCTGATAACGTTTCACCTAAGATAGATTTTCCCCTCATGCATTACAAGAATGGAGAATCAATCATAAAGTTATAAAGTAGGCTTTTGGCCTTGTTCTTATCACACTCATGATGTCAGTTCAAAGGGTGTCATTGTTGGAATAGTTTCTTTTACATGAGTAGAGTAGTATCCTAAAACAGGTCCTGTTATAGTATTTGCTTCCTGTATTACATCCACACACTGCTGTCAAAGGATCTCCTATTGATTTAGTCATATTTGCCGTGTTGCATAAAAGCATTGCACTTCAGTGTGACTTTAAAAACGGCAGAGAAAATCTCTTGTTTACCAAAAGAGTGGTTCACTAACGCTTTAGTTAAAACATCTTTTAATAGAACCACACATGCTTTTTATTTATAAGACAGAATATCTTAATGTACCAGAAACAGTACATAAAACAATAAAATGTATATATTTTAGTTCCAGTTACCAGCATCTCATCGGTGCAAATTGGTCGTCAGACGGAGGGTTTCAAGAAGAACACAGAGGAGCAGGTGGAGGGCCGCTGCTTCACCATCATGTTTAAGGGCCGCCACAAGAACCTGGACTTGATGGCCAGCTCTGAGGAGGAGGCCGGGCAGTGGGTCCGAAGCCTGCAGAAACTCATCTCCAGCATAAACAACCAGAGCAGGCAGCAGACCACAGAGCAGTATCCTTAAATGAATGTTTGTTACAGAAAACAAAAGAACATTTTATGCCTTCTGAATATAATTACTTTCAGATCACTTTCTATATTTTGAAGTTTGATAAACATAAAGCAAACTTGTTGCACAGCCCGGGCCGTTCTTCTTGTGTCCTCTCCTTACATCACAAACATCACAGCTGGATCTTCAGCTGCTTGAGGAAAGCAGACAAAAACAAAGATGATAAGCTGTCTCAGTCAGAGATGAAGAACTTCCTGCGGATGATCAACATGGAACTGGATGATGAATACGCTGAAATGATTTTCAAGGTGACGCTGATGTGCAGAGCCCCCCAGAAGACCCCCAAAATCTATAAGTTATTATGGTCAAAATGACAGTTCATTTCTAAACTGACTTAATAATTGAAGTATTAGAAGGAGATGTTTTCAAGTTAAAGCAAATTGGAACCGTATGAAAAAAAGGAACTCCTGTTTATTTTAACTTTCATTTTATTGCAGATTGTTTTCATGTTGTTTAATATACACCTACATATACATATACATTACTCCTGTAGCACATTTAAAAAGTTGTTGGAATGAGGAAAGTTAGAGCCAGTATTGTGTCTAAT